TTTGAAACGGAAATAAAATCTGAAATCTGAAATCTGAAATCTAAGTAATGCAGACCACCCTATATTTTCGTTGAAATTGCCTTTATTTTTATTTTAAATATTAACCACTTTTTTTGTGAGCAAGATAACTAAAAAATGACTCAATCAAATGCCTTGAAATTTTGCACACATATGTATAGGCCTTGCTCATGTGTGATGACGTCATCTAGGCGCCATTTTGTGAATTTTTCTGTAAATCAACTCATGATCATATCTTCATCACGAGTTTTAAAAACTAAACCGTATTTGAAACACATGAACTTCAGGTCAAGGTTCAACATAACATGTCATCAACATCAGCGCGCGCACCATGACACGCACGTAGGCGCGCGTCAAAATTTAAAAATGCTCAAAATCACTCTTTGATGAAATAAGAGTACGTTTTAGGTTATTTAAAGCATTTCAACAATTTGCGCGCGCGCACAACGACCCGCGAGTTTTTGTGCGTTAAAACATAGAATCTTCATTTTTTTTTCTTCATGATATATCCCATTTTTTCTGAACAATGTGATATCATGTTTATCTCTTTATGATTATCAATAACAGAATGAGCGTTCGTTCAAGATAAATGTCCGTGCGCGCGAGGTTTTATATACCTTGGAAGTAGGCGTTTAAAGTTAAAAACGTATTTGCCTCTCGTTGACATTCGGATGAAGAATCCATATTTTGACACATGTTTAGTGGCGCTATACAGCAATTGACGAACATGGACAAGCGAAGGACTCCTCTGGGTCAAATTGATCTTTTCTTGACGACCAAAACTTCAACAAATTGTCTTGTATTAAATACAATTGCATATTTTGCCTATTAAAAAAATCCATTATAGCTCTTTGGGATGCACCTGGATCCCCAATTTTGTTTCATATTTTGATAGAGCATGAGTCGGAGATATGATTTCATGTCTCATTTGGCCATTAAAAATATTCTGACGTTATCATAATGGCCATCGAACTCAAAATACGAATTTGCATATTATGCGTCAGCAAATTGATGGAAAATTGATTGTATCTCTGTGAATATTGATCGTTTTTCTTCTAAATTTGGATATGTTGTAGCTAAAACATTTCTCTACAAGCTCATGCATCACGATTTTTCATTTTGACGTCGTCATCAGTGAAAATGTCGATTAAAGGTCACATGTCAGTAATTTCATAATTTGCGTGTTATGCCTTAGGAAGGTGAAGTTCGTTCACATCATGAATCTACGTGACATTGTTCTTTTATTAGTATCTCGCTTTTTTAGGCTCTGTTTTGTCTCAAATTTTAGTTGGAACAGCCCATCTATACTTGTTCCAAACAAGTATTACATGTCTAGTTTCTTTATTTGTTCTTTGTTACAAAGACATTGACAGAAATTGACAGAAATTTCTGTGTAAATCAGTACAAAGACTGATACATTAAAAATGATCATAGCTGCATCGTTCAAAATTATACAAAGAATAAAATACATTCACCAAAATTGACTAGGAAAAGAAAATTTGGAATAAGAAATGAAGAAAAAATTGTTAAACATGTTAAACATGTTGCACCTCAATAATAAACACCACAAAAAATATACGATCATAAAGACAGAGAAAGAACTAGACATGTAATACTTGTTTGGAACAAGTATAGGTGGGCTGGTGAACTAAAATTTAAGACAAAATAGAGCAAAAATAAGCGAGATACTGCTTACAAATTCTTAAAAAACAATATCATGTAGATTCATGACTTCACCTTCTATAGGCATAACACCCGAATTATGAAATTTCTGACATGAGGCCTTTAATCGAAATTTTCACTATGATGACGTCATCAAAATGAAAAATGATGTTTATTAAGCTTGTAGAGAATTGTCTTAGCTACAACATATCGAAATTTGAGAGAAAATCGATCAATATTGACAGAGATACAATCAATTTTCCATATATATGCTGACGTCATAATATGCAAATTCATATTTTGAGTTCCAAGGCCGTTATGATGACGTCATAATATTTGTAATGGCCAAATGAGACAGGAAATCATATCTCCGACTCATACTCTATCAAAATATGAAAAAAATATTGGTGTCCAGTTGCATTCTACAGAGCTATAATGGATTTTGTTTAGGCCTGTTTTTGCCCATATATGCTATGTATTAAAAGAGCTCGCGCGCACGGACATTTATCTTGTTATTAATGGTCATAAAGAGATAAACATGGTATGAAATTGTTCGAAAAAATATGAGAAATATGAAAGAAAAAAAATTGCGATTCTATGTTTTGTAATGGTCTGACGCGCGAGAACGCGCGCGCATGCGCGTGTGCGAATTTTTTTATAAAATGCTTAAAATGATCCGAAACGTATGCAAAAAAAAATTTAAGACGATTTTGAGCATTTAAAAATTTTGCGCGCGTTTTGACACGTGGAAGTACGCGCACGCGCGCTTTTTTTGACATGAAATTGACTGGACTGATATTGACATTGATCATGGAAAATATGAATGAGAAATGACTTACCGTTATGAAAATATGATCATAAGTAAATTTTCAGAAAATTTCACAAAATGGCGCCTAGATGACGTCATCAGTTAAGGTCAAGGTTGAAAACCTTACTCACAATACTCACTTACTTACTGTACTTTGTTTTGTCCATATGGCTATACATATGTGTGCTAAATATCAAATCATTTGATTGAGACATTTTCAACTTATCTTGCTAACAAAAAAGTGGGTCGAAATAAGAAAAATAAATAAATAAATAAATAATAAAGGCAATTTTAACAAAATTATAAGGTGGTCTGTATTAGATACAGCCCACCTGAATATAAGAATTTGAAGGGAAATGAGCTATTGAGAAAAGGTAAACAAATTGAAGAATGCCTTTTTATTTGTAAATGGTTTACATTTGAATCGTAGTATAGGCGACTAAATAATTAGCTTTGGATTATTGGACATATATATATATATATACATATAAACAGATACTTTTACAAATATAAATACCTGACCTATGTTCATAGGTAAACAGACTGAACATGGCAGTGAAATAGAATCTAATATAATGATTGAGCTTGAAACTATATATGATGTCGTACGTCGTTATACATGTACTATTCTGGCAGCAAAGAATCACCCGCTGTATAAAGGGGCAAAAGAAAAGTTATTTTAGTTTATGCAACACCTACGTGGATCCTTGTCATTTGATCGGAGGATTGTTGGTCACATGATAGTCAATAGATGTTATATTGCACGGCCGTGCATTTTTGGTTATATGCAGAGTGCATTTTGGGTTATATCCCCAGTCGTAAAAAAATAGGAAAAAAATAGGGGAAAAATAAGGAAAAAATAGTCCCGAAAATATATTTTTTTTCTATTTTTTCCCTATTTTTTTTAAAGGGAAAAATAGGGGAAAAATAGTTTTGGAAATAGGAAAAAAATAGGTTTGAAACAATTTTTTCTATTTTTTTCCTATTTTTTTCCTATTTTTCAGACCTAAAAATAGGAAAAAAATAGGGAAAAAATAGTGTAGAAAATGGTGAAGAAAATAGTAAAAAAATAGTGATAACTAGGTGCTAGTGGACAGTGAAAAATAGTGAGGAAATAGGAAAAAAAATAGTGAGGAAATAGGAAAAAAATAGTAAGAAAATAGGGAAAAAATAGTAAGAAAATAGGGGAAAATAGTAAGGAAATAGGAAAAAAATAGTAAGAAAATAGGGAAAAATAGTAAGAAAATAGGAAAAAAATAGTAAGAAAATAGGGGAAATAGTAAGAAAATAGTAAAAAAATGGTAAGGAAATAGGAAAAAAATAGTAAGAAAATAGGAAAAAAATAGTAAGAAAATAGGGAAAAATAGTAAGAAAATAGGAAAAAAATAGTAAGGAAATAGGAAAAAAATAGACAATAAGTGAGGAAATCAGAAAAAAATAGTCAGGAAATAGGGGGGGGGGGGTCACTCATCCTTTACTTTCATGGATTTCTCAAGCACTACCATCTCACACATCCAGTCAACGACTCTGTACATTCAATTAAATCATACAGTGCAAACTAGATATAAAGAGATCAGTTATACCTGAAATGACAAGGTAATTTAACAGCTTTTGGGGGTTAAGATTTCTTGGTTGCACATGACCTCATTGTCAAAAGTTTCCACTGTAGAATAGTCACCCTACTCCTACAGCTCTTTTCTCTGCATCGATGCACCTACTCAGTTTGCCAAATTCACTTCATCCTTTCAGTCCAATCCATTCAGTAGAACATTTAAAATAGGCAATGGGTATATGGAAAATGTTATACAGTCCACTCCTATTATAACGAACATGGATACACCAAGATTTTATTATCAGGCAATTCTCATCAGTCCCAATTTTAAACAAACCAATGTGTTCAGTAACTTGAGTATAACATGATTTCATTTTAACAAGGAAATTGGCTTGGTCCCGAGCACCTCGTTATAATGGCAGTGGACTGTAACAAACAAAAAGAATAAAAGGGAACGTGTCAAATAAAATACATGTACTTTATTTTCGAGAGGTAAACACAATGACATGAGTTTAGTATAGTATGTGTGTTCATGTAAGCAAATAAATAAAAGAACTTAACTGATATTTACCATCCTAGGTTAAGTACTGTAGTGTACATGTTGTAGTAATAGAGTTGTTCATGGTTTGCTATGATTATACTCTAAAAAAAAAAAAACAAGACAAATGCGACTGCGTCTCCTATATGCCTCCGCCTTAAAAAAATATCATCCACCTAGAATGTAGCTTTCTATTTTTGTTCAAATAAAGTATTCAGGTGAGTTTCAGGACTATTACTGAGCCGATGTGGATATGCCAGGCGATCACAAGCTCTCTCCCTCACTAGTAACCAAATAAAGCAGTATTCTTGACATGAGAGTGTTGTTTTCTGTCTCTTTTATTACAATTTAATTGCAAAGTGCTCTTAATAATGTAATAACATTTTCACCCTCAAGAAAATCATGACAAGTAAAAAAAAAATTCTCGTTATTTACAAAGATAACAAAATAAAATAAATCATAAAACAGATTTTTCAACAATGCATGCATGCTCTATTGTACAGTTGACATGTTACATAATTTTCTCAATCTCAATTGAACTGTCAAAATCTTAATACAATCATCATAATCTAGAAACACTTACTACAAAATCAATGACATGTCATGTCATTGAGATATATATAAACAAGAAAATGACAGACTTACATGCTACTATTTTCAAATAGTTTTACAAAGTATACCATCATTACCATGTATCATAAGTAATGGTCTTATGGTCCTTTATCTTCACAATATGCAGGCACTCATTGTGTACACATACATGTTGTACTTGCCTATGAATCTCAATGATTAGACATAAGAATTACATAATAAAATGGAAACAAATACTAATGTAAAGGATACAGATGTTGGTCATGCTGTTCACAGGCATCGAATTGTGATTGTACGTTACATGTACATTGTAGCTTGATTAGTTTCAATTGATCTGTAAAGATATAAATGAAATGTGAGTTAGGGGTTAGAATAATCATGCATTGGTACATTTATGAACATGCAATTAATACTTAGTACAAGTATTTATGTATTTCATAATGAAAAATTCAAAGGCACAGAACATGTGTGTACAAAAGTATGATAGCAAAAAAGATGCCAGGCTGACGACGAACGGATGGTGAAACAACGGAGTCATCAAAGAGCTGTCAAGGTGCATGAAATGTAAACCACTCAGGTAGGCAATTAATTAGAGTTATTTTATTCTTAGATATATTGGGTGAACATACATAAAATAAAACATAAAACACAGAAAAGAAAATAGTAAAGGAACAATTTGTTGAAGAAAAAAATAAAAAGGAAAGAGAAAAATAATGTAGATCTAGGTAGAACTTGTGCCACCTGCAAATTATTGTTCTAGCATAATGACGAGGTAAACTACTCTAATATTTTGATGTCAGATCTTAACTAACAATTAAACATGAAATAAATAAACCCAAAAAAATTATCAACAATAGATTTAGATTTCTACTTAGTAAGGACATACCTCGCAGACACACTCTCGGACTTGGAAGACTTGCTCTTCTTCTTGCGTGGTGCTTTAGCAGGTTGTGTTTTCTGATTCCTAGAAAAATAATTTGAGATACAATTTAGCCTAAAACCACATCAAAACATTATATCATGCAAGGCAAAATAATTGACAGACGTAGTAATGGTACAAAATCTGAAATTTTTTACGTGGATTTATTGTAAGCACGTTTGTTTACATTCACTCATTCACTAACAGACACTACACTGCACTTGGAGATTCACTACACTTCACTAAGTAAGAAGTTGTGTAGTCTACAACCTCAACACTAGTACATGGGAATATTGATACGTAAAATAACATTCTATAGGCCTATTATGTCTATGAAGTAGCATTATATTCAACAACAGACACAATAAAAATATATATATCATAATATAATTAAGTTTCAGAAATAAACGTACCTTTTCAGCTATTTTCTGGGGCCAGTTCCGCTCGTCGATGGTCCGTAATTCGACAACAAACTCGTTTCTCTACGAGTGGGACTAGTAATATTTTGAACATTTGTCGGGCTCATTTTCTTGGGAAGAATCACTAAAATGGGATAAGGAGGCATCGGAGTATGAGGAGTCACTATCTCTTGATGAAATTTCATCGCTAGAATAATTGCTGGAAGACATTTTGGTGTGATTTGGAGACGTTTGATGAACGAAAATCAGCAAAAGTCCGATGCGCACAGCAGTGCCAGTGGGGGAAAAAAATAACGGGTAATTTTCAAATTACGTACTTGCGTACTGTCCTCTACGTTGAAACTTTGCGCACACATAGAACGGGAATATCTCGATCGAATGCTTTTTTTTCTATCATTAAAGGAGATTTTTTTTGGTTGAAATTTCTATGTGTACATTTTCTTTTTACACATGGTTTATGTATGGTTATCTTTGAGTGCACTAGTCACTACTATAGTTTGTAAATAAAATCAAGAATATTAATAAAGGAACAAAATTGAAATTTCGTACATTTTCTTTTTACACATTGTTTATTTATGGTCATCTTTGAGCTCACTATTCAATATGTGACCCCACAGCTAAAAACAACCAATAAGTCGCAAAATGAACAACAGAGATAATGGCAGGAGAAGCGGGCTTTTTGAATAGGATGCCAGTCATAAACAATGAAAATATGCAAGTTTAGAAAATAGACAAAAAATAGTTTACAAATTTGTATCATGTCATAAAAAATTTAAGTGCAAAAAATAGGAAGAAAATAGTACTCGCAAATAGGTAAAAAGAAGTCTGAAAAAGATAAAGGTGAAAAAAATAGGGAAAAAATTGTCTGAAAAAGATTAAGGTGAAAAAATAGGGAAAAAATAGTCTGAAAAAGATTAAGATGAAAAAATAGGGAAAAAATAGTCCTATTTTTTTTTGAGAAAATAGGCAAAAAATAGTCTGAAAAAGATGAAGGTGAAAAAATAGGGAAAAAATAGTTTGGTACTCGAGAATAGGAAAAAATATAACTATTTTTTTTCTATTTTCTTTTAAAAAAATAGGAATAAAATAGTCCACAAAAGTTGAAGGTAAAATAAATGGGGGAAAAAAAGTTTGTGCTTGAAAATAGGAAAAAAATAGGACTATTTTTTTCCTGTTTTCTTATAGGAAATAGGAAAAAAATAGTCTGAAAAAAAATATAGGTGAAAAAAATAGGGAAAAAATAGTTTGTACTTGAAAATAGGAAAAAAATAGGACTATTTTTTTTCCTGTTTTTTTATAGGAAATAGGAAAAAAATAGTCTGAAAAAAAATATAGGTGAAAAAAATAGGGAAAAAATAGTTTGTGCTTGAAAATAGGAAAAAAATAGGCCTATTTTTTTCCTATTTTCTTGAAGGAAATAGGGAAAAAATAGTCTGCATTTCCAGAAAATAGGGAAAAAATAGGAAAAAAATAGGGAAAAAATATATTTTCGCAACACACAAAACTACTAGGGATGCGCTGCGGACTGCGTACGTCTCTGCCGTGCCCGTATCCCTGTGTGTATCTGACGCGAAGGCAATCTGAATGTATAGGCGGTGACAGAGGCCAAAAATCCTGATTTTAGTTATCCTCTAATTGCTGTCTGTCATCAATTATCCCTTCAAAAATTATGTGTGACACCGCCTTATGTAGACTAATCGAGATGGCTTGACTCCAACGTTAATAAATATAAGGAGTAAAGCATAATTTGTTGATTAACGTTCGATTGGATCTAGCTTTGATGTTGTATAAAACAAATAATGAATGTTTTTCATTCGTTTAATAGTGCAAATATTTTCATTCGCTGAAAGATTAACGTTAATTCTATTCAACTCGGATGACGCCTCGTTGAATAGAATGTTAATCGTTCAACTCATGAAAATATTCGCACTATTGAAGTCATAACCATTCATTATTTGTATACTATAGCCCAAAGATGTGGAAATAACACACATAGGCCTATGTGTTGAATTTCATGATCAATTTATCCTTAAATTGGAAAGAAATCAATGCATTATATACCGTAATTTCTACGGCATTCAATATTTTATCTATTTAATAATGAAGTAAAGTTAATTCCCCTTTACTAGGTTTATGATTCTTTCATAGTAGATTAATTGACTCTCTTTATTGTCTTTGTAAAGCGTATACAGTGAGAGTAAAAAAAAAGTTTACACGTAGAAAACATTTAAGAATAGTATAGTATTAATGACTGCTTTGAGAGAAATAGTTGTTTTATTACGCTCAAGGGAAGGTTAGAATTGTGCTATTCCCCGAGGCTTGCCGAGGGGAATAGCCCAATTGTAACCTTCCCGAGAGCGTATGAAAACAACTATTTCTCGAATATTAAAGCAGTCATTAATACTTTTATATGCCGAAAAAAAATAGACTAAAAAATAAAAAATAAAAAATAATTTATATTTTTGTCGAAGACGGGATTCGAACTCTTGCGTACAACAAGAGGTGTATCGAAAACCAACGCTTAGACCACTCGGCTATCGCGCGCCGTTAACATGCTTGGCAGTTTTCTCCAATATATACATTAAAATGGACTGAAAACGGCTCCGCGTGAGGGATGCTTCGCAAAAGCTCCATGAAACGGACCCTTCTTTTACTTTTGCAATGCATATTGGCACGAACTTAGATCAAGATCTATCGGCAGATGTTGTTTTTTTGTTTTTGAGAGTTAATTTTCGTCTTCATGTCAACAATGCAAGATAAAATTGTCGGTAAGATCGATCGAGATTCAATTGTATTGAAATTGCCGACCAATTTTTCGCACACGTATGGTATCCTCCATCGCTCAAACCATTTTTTAACATGTAAACCTATGGGGTAACCATGGAGACTGACCTATTTTTTTAATAACCATGGTTATTAAAAATATTGAAATGTTTTAAGCATGGTTACCGGGAATTTTACAGGAACAGTTGAAGTTTATGAATGCAATTCGACCAATCAGATGGCTGGATTTCTTAAGTGAGGTATATAATAAATTATTATACATCTTATGACATTATCCCAAATCATTTGGTATCTTTTTTGTGTGATATGTGGTCACACTTGAATGAACAGGAGACATTGTTTAAAAGAGTGCAAAAATCGACTTGCGCCAAAGTGATGCCTTTGTTATGTTTTATTAAAACAATTGGGATTAGGGTATTAATACGGTCTTTGCAGATCCAATAACATCCTAAGAAAAATAATCATGCCACACATATTATAACACACACAAAGTCACACTCAGCAAGTCACCTACACACACACACGCACGCACGCATACACACTTCCGCGCACTCGCGCACTCGGATAAATAAAAAATACACGCAGCCAAATCATTATTACGCCATGAACATTCCTGTAAAATCGCGAATTTCCTATTTAATATCAATACGGAATCTAAATTCAATCAAGTTAGGTGCATCGCAATGAATTGTTTCTCCCAAAGGACTCGGTCAGTCTGCATCCAAATGTATAAGTGTGCGTGAGTTCCTTGTGCGCGCGCGTGTGTGTGTGTGTGTGTGTGACTTTGCTTCTGAAAAAAAGCATATGCAATGCATCTCATTTGATACATGTACATTCAATTCCCTCTCTCACTTTAATACTTCTTGCACTCTCGCAAACAATGCCTCCTGTTCATCCAAGCGTTAACTCACATACCACAAATAAATGACAATTTCCTGAGTCTAAACTTTTTTTTGACTCGCACGGTATAGAGACATACCAATATTATTCGCTATACTAAAGCATGAATATTATTATTATGGAATTATGTCAGGTATAATCTTCCATCAAAATTATGTCACGAATTTTTATGTTCAATTCAATCATATTTTCTTAAAGGGGATACAAGAAATAAATTTGAAATATGAATTTGATAACTGAAATTTCCAGAAAATTGTTCTTTGTCCAGTGTCATTGGTGTGAGAAAAACTTCCAAAAGAAGTGAAAGACCGAGTCATCAAAAGTATTGATTTCAGAGAATCCATGCGCAGGAGGTGTATAGAAGATTTAGTTAATGATATTCTTATAATATATCAGTGGTTATAAGGGCAAGTGTGCATGTCAGCAATTAAGAGGAACAGGGGAAGGATATATTGTGTGTTTTAATAAAATAAAAACTCATCATTTCAATTCTGTATAATAATATGCTTAAAAATAGGACATTCAATTTCTTTTTTAAAGTATTTAATTTTATTCTGGAAAAAAAGCAATGCTGGTTCTTAATTTTGTGAAATAAAGTCAATGAATACAAAATTTAAAGCCTATCCTTCAAACTATCCTTCAAACTGTCTTTGCCTCTGAACTCAATCTACTTACCTTTTCTTCGTCAAGAATATTAACTTGTCCTACTCTGGTCAAAATTTCCAGGGAGTCGCTTATTTTAATATCAAACTAATCTAATAAAAAGCATACGATTCCGAAAAGCACACGTTTGGAACTTTGAACGAAATCGGGCAATAGAATTCTGGAAAGTTGTATAGGAAAGGGAACTTCAAATTATCTAATTCGGTTATGTCACTGTGATGTATAGTGCCGGACAACATCCCAATTGTTCCGACAAACAACTAACTAGAATGTTTATGTGCGTTTTTGTTTTTTTGCAAAATGTAAGACTCTTTGTTTTGTTTTTTGTTTTTTCTAGAGGGCTCAGACATGGCGGAAGGGGCACCAGTCTATATTCTACTAGATAAGTTTCTTCAAATTTCCCTTTTTTAGTCACGAAACCCATTTAAGAAATAAAAAAGCTTCGCGTCACCCCAATTCCCGAATTCATCACAGAAGGTTCACTTTGCATCACTCTGGCACTTGCCATGTACACATGTACCAGCATGTTCTATTCTGAATTTTTCTAGCGAGCGAAGCGATTGAGTAATACTTTAATATATACATATATATATATATATATATATATATATATATATATTTGCAATCAACGCACTTGATA